CCCCCCCCCCCCCCCCCCCCGTGTCTCCATTCCGGGCCCAGCCTTACACGGATGCATGGTGTCAATACTACTGGCATGCACAACCTTGCGCCCCCCCCTGGCTTTGCAGAACCCGTCGATGCTCGAAAGAGTTTTGCGAGCACGACCCCCCCCACCAACGATGACGCAGAGCGAAAGACGGCACCTTGAGCCCGGGTCCGGTGAGGTACGCGACGATCACGTTCCGCGCCGCTTCGAGCGGAGACTTCCCCTGATTGTCTCCCATCCACGATCCGAAGAATCTGTTCAGGAGGTCCGCGCCCATGTAAAGGTCTGCAGAGTCCGGAACCAACTCCGCCGGGGCTGATAATTTTGTTTTTGCAGANGGGGGGGGGGGGGGGGGGGGGGGGGGGGGGGGGGGGGGGGTTGGATTGGCGTCAGAAGGGGGTGTGACTTGAATCGCAGTGGGGAGATACGCAAGCGTTGAGCAAACTTGGTTGGCCATCAGGAAAGGAACAGACTTTCGCATTCGTGTGCATCATGGAAAGGATGGCGGGAGGTCGGAGGTACAAGCGGCGAACGCGCGTTCCGTGGAAGCAAAACAAGACCATCTGACGGGTTCTCTATTTCGTTAATAGTTGCATTTGTCATTTTCGCTCGTTCGGGAAGAGCATCGGGACATCAAAATGCAAAATAACAGAGACATACTGCCCAGGGTCTATCTTTTGGGAAGTTCCCTGCTGCACGAGATTGCCCGGGTCTATGGCACAAGCTCTTGCTCTCCCTTGCGCGCATCTCTCCTAACACACACAGCAGTAGCTCCAGAGCAACCCCTTCAACCCGCCGCACTGAGTAGCCCGCAAAGCCTAGCCCGCGAAGCCAAGCGAGGGCCCCTCACACAGGCGGTCTACTCGAAACAGGATCGACAACACTCACGGATGTCGGGCCGCTCCGACGCGATGACGCTCATCCCCCCGGAGGACATCATCGGCGGGTCCCACGACGTGCGCTTGTTCATGTGGTCCACGTAGTAGGGGATCCCCTGGTCGGTCGTTTGCATTTCCCACCCTGCGGGTACGGATAGCATATATAGCACGGGCAACGATAGCGTACGAGGTAGCCAGCGGGCAACGAACGGAAAGAAGGTTGAACACAATATTCCGTGTGACGGCGTGAGCCAGATATTTTTTGTTGTTAAAAGAGGGGGATTCAAGAAAAAAAAAAGAAGCCGAACGCGTTAGCCCGGTGGAAACACAACAAGTCGGTGACAGAACAACAATCAACAAGTCGGTGACAGAGAGTGTGATGCCAAATAGGCGTCTACGGGTAACCACACTCCACGTACAAATATCCAGCAACCATGAGCGTGCGTCCGGCACAAGATTTTTTGACCCCCCTTCCTCGCACCACCGTAGGCGACCCAATGACGTAAACCCACGGGAAACACCAGCCACCCCCTACGGATTGGTACGAAACGGTGATACCGGGCGACAGCTTGGTAGCACAACTCGGAAACACACCCAACAAACGTAAAGAACTTTTCCATGAAAGGAAACACGGCACTTGTTGCTAAATCCCGCACAGAATACCATACCGAAACGTAGCGTGGGTTTTGCATGTATTGTACTGTCACCATGGTGTGTGTTGTGTGTTTTAGTCCTAATTATTATTATGGCGTGGGGGTGGTCATCTTCTCACGTCGGCGATGCCATATGTCATTCACGCCGACAGTGCCCAACCATCACCCCGCCCCCCCCTCGCCCTGCCCATTCAATCCTCACGACCTCCTAATCCATCCAGACGACGCTCTACCCCCGAAGCTCGGCCGTCGGCCTCTGTCGACCAAGCCATACAGCACAACCAACGCACCCGCCCCCTGGCTCCTCCCAACTTTAGCAAAGTAGGAAAAACGACTACCCTTTTAAGCCGTTGGTGATCAGTTTTGTGCGAACAATTCTTCGTTCTCTAGAGAAGGCGTTGCCGATGGCCTAATCGCGAAGACATGCAAAACATTAGTACCCCCCCCACACACACACACCTTCAGGGAGCGGCCGTCCGTCAGCCCCCAGGTTCCTCGACACCTGCTGCGTGCCCTCCACCGGGACGCCTGTCGCCGCGGCCTCCACGGCACCGCCGTCGCCGTCCCCGTCCACGCTCTCGAACACCTCCGACTCCGCTCCGAGGGACTCCTGCCGCATCCCCTTCGCCTCGGACACAACGCCGACCATGGTCGGGGTGGCCGCCGGCGCCGGCACGGGGGGGTCCCAGCTGGTCGTCCGCTCGTTGTGGTTCGTCCAGAAAGGCACGCCTCCTTCCGTGTAGAGCTTCTCCCAACCTGGGTGAGTAACCGTGCGGTGACGGAGAGCGACGGAAGGACGGGGCGTTGTACTCACCATCAGATATCGACCCCACACCGGAAAACAACCGTACCGTTACGGAGAGCGATGGAAGGACCTGGGGGGTCGTACTCACCATCAGATATCAGGGATACTCACATTATGCCGTAATCGTTATACCTTGCAACCCTTCAATGCCGGGACGGAGCGATATGCCGTGTTTTCGCCGGCCCAGGTTACATTTCCCAAGGATGAACCAGGACTGGGGGGGGGGGG